ATTGTCAATTCAATTAAAAATTCATTTTACTTAGATGAAACACTAGATAAGCCCAAGGATCAAATGTTCTTAAAAAGCAACATGTAGGGGATTCCCCTAAGATGGCTGAATAGGAACAGCTCCAGAGTGCAACTCCCAGTGAGAGAGACACAGAAGGAGAGTGATCTCTGCATTTCCAATCGAGGTACCTGGTTCATTTCAATGGGACTGGCTGGACAGTGGGTGTAGCCCAAGGAGGGTAAACTGTGGCAGGGTGGGGTGCTGCCTCACCCAGGAAGTGCGACTGATAAGAGAATTGGAGACATCCTCCCAGCCCTGCACTCTGGTTCAGATACTGTAATCTCCCATGCCCTCTGTAACCCACAGACCAGGATATCCCCGCTGGGCTGAAAAGCACCGTGAGTTACCAACACAGATCTGAGTGGCAGCTCTGGCTATGCCATGGGCTGTTGGCACAGATCTGGGTGAATGTTTTGACTAGCACCAAGAGCGCCTGCAGGACCGAGCTACCTGCTCCCCAGAAAGAGGAGGAGCTGAAAGCAGGGAGACAGGTGATACAGCTGGGCAGGTCCCACCCGCAAAAAGACCAGCAAACTGAAGCCCTCTCACTTGAGAGTTTTGCAGCCAGCACATCAGTTCAAACTCGACCCAGGACAATCAAGCTCAGTGGTGGGGAAGGGCGTCTGCCATTGCTGAGGCTGGTCTAAACCTACCCGTGTAAACAAAAGCCATAGGAAGCTTACACGGCAGCTGGACTCAGTCTGTGAGGGTGTAGCATTGCCTCTGCAGGCAGACAAGGGGCAAACTGCCTCCTTAAGCAGCTGCCTGACCCCTGTATAACCAAAAAGATGCATCATACAGGAAAGCTCTGGCTGTCACCTGGCGGGTATCCTTCTGGGATGAAGATACCAGAGGAAAGATCAGGCAGCAATACTTGCTGATCTGTAATCCCCACAGGTGATTCCCAGGCAAGCAAGGTATAGAGTGGACCTTGAGCAGTCCTATAGCAGAGGGACCTGACTGTTAGAAGAAAAACTAAAAAACAGAAAGAAATAGTTTCAACATCAACAGAAAGGACATCCACTCAGAAACCCTATCTGAAATCACCAACTTCAAAGATCAAAGGTAGATAAATCCAAGAAGATGGGAAGAAACCAGCACAGAAAGGACGAAATCATCAAAGACCAGAACACCTCTCCTCCTCCAAGGGATCACAACTCCTCACCAGCAAGGGAACAAAACTGGATGGAGAATGAGTTTGACTAATTGACAGAAACAGGCTTCAGAAGGTGGGTAATAACAAACTTCTCTGAGCTAAAGGAACATGTTCTAATCCAATGCAAAGAAACTAAAAATCTTGAAAAAAGATAGATGAAATGCTGCTTAGAATAACCAGCTTAGAGAGGAACATAAACAACTTGATGGAGCTGAAAAACACAGCACGAGAACTTTGTGAAGCATACGCAAGTTCCAATAGCCAAATCAATCAAGCAGAAGAAAGGATATTAGAGATTGAAGATCACCTCAATGAAATAAAATGAGAAGGCAAGATTAGAGAAAAAAGAGTAAAAATAAATGAACAAAGCCTCCAAGAAATATGGGATTATGTGAAAAGACCTAATCTACATTTGATAGGTGTACCTGAATGTGACGGAGAGAATAAATCCAATCTGGAAAACACTCTTAAGGATATTATCCAGGAGAACTTCCCTAACTTAGCAAGGCAGGCCAACATTCAAGTCTAGGAAATACAGAGAACACCACAAAGATATTCTTAAAGAAGAGCAACCCCAAAGCACATAATTGTCAGATTCACCTGGGTTAAAATAAAGGAAAAAATGCTAAGCGCAGCCAGAGAGAAAGGGCAGGCTACCCACAAAGGGAAGCCCATCGGACGCACAGCAGATCTCTAGGCAGAAACCCTACAAGGCAGAAGAGAGTGGGGGCCAATAAAGAACTTTCAACCTAGAATTTCATATCCAGCCAAACTAAGCTTCATAAGCGAAGGAGAAATAAATCGTTTACAAACAAGCAATTGCTGAGAGATTTCATTACCACTAGACCTGCCTTATAAGAGCTTCTGAAGGAAACACTAAACATGGAAAGGAACAAGCAGTACCAGCCACTCCAAAAATGTACCAAATGGTAAAGACCAATGACACAATGAAGAAATTGCATCAACTAACAGGCCAAACACCCAGCCAGTAACAAAATGACAGGATCAAATTAACACATTAACAATATTAACCTTAAATGTAAATGGCCTAAATGTCCCAATAAAAAAAGACACAGACTGGTAAACTGGATAAAAAGTCAAGACCCATTGGTGTGTTGTATTCAGAAGACCCATCTCACAGGCAAAAACACACAGACTTAAAATAAAGGGATGGAAGAAGACTTACCAAGCAAATGGAGTGCAAAAAAAGCAGGGAGTGCAATCCTAGTCTCTGATAAAATAAACTTTAAACCAACGAAGAACAATACAGACAAAGAAGGGCATTACATAATGGTATAAGGATCAATACAACAAGAGGAGTTAACTATCCTAAATATATATGCACACAGTACAGGAGCACCCAGATACATAAAGCAAGTTCTTACTGACCTACAAGGAGACAGAGACTCCCACACAATAACAGTGGGAAACTTTAACACTCCACTGTCAAAATTAGACAGATCAACAAGACAGAAAATTAACAAGGATATCCAGGACTTGAACTCAGACCTGGACCAAGCAAACCTAATAGACATTTACAGAAGTCTCCACCCCAAAGCCACAGAATATACATTCTTCTCAGCACCACATCACACCTACTCTAAAATTGACCACATAATTGGGAGTAAATCACTCCTCAGCAAATGCAAAAGAATGGAAATCATAACAAACCATCTCTCAGATGACAGTGCAGTCAAATTGGAACTCAGGATTAAGAAACTCACCCAAACCACTCAACTACATGGAAACGGAACAACTTGCTCCTGAATTACCACTGGATGAACAACGAAATGAAGGCAGAAATAAAGATGTTATTCAAAACCAACAAGAACAAAGACACAACATACTGTAATCTCTGGGATACATTTAAAGCTGTGTCTAGATGGAAATTTATAGCAATAAATGCCCACATGAGAAGCAAAGAAAGATCTAAAATCATCAAAATTGAAAGAGGTAGAGGAGCAAGGTCAAAAAAAAGTCAAAGGATAGCAAAAGACAAGAAATAACTAAGATCAGAGCATAACTAAAGGAGATAGAGACACAAAAAAACCCTTAAAAAAATCAATAAATCCAGGAGCTGGTTTTTTTGAAAAGATCAACAAAATAGACAGACTGCTAGCCAGAACAGTAAGAAAGAAAAGAGAGAAGAATCGAATAGATGCAATAAAAAATGATAAAGGGGATATCACCACCAATTCCGCAGAAATACAAACTACCATCAGAGATTACTACAAAAAACTCTATGCACATAACCAGTAAACCTGGAAGAAATGGATAAATTCCTGGACAGTTACACCCTCCCAAGCCTAAACCAGGAAGAAGTTGAATCCCTGAATAGACCAATAACATGGTATGAAGTAGAAGCAGTGATTAATAGCCTACCAACCAAAAAAAGTCCAGGTCCAGACGGGTTACAGCTGAATTCTACCAGACATACAAAGAGGAGCTGGTACCATCCCTTCTGTAACTATTCCAAAGAATATAAAAAGAGGGAATCCTCTGTAACTGGTTTTATGAGATAATCATACATAGTACATTAAACTAAAACATGCATATAATGTCAGAGAACATGCTTATAAGCAAGAACTGTATTCTCACATTGGACTATAATACATTAAATCCAAATAGTACATACAAACATTTTCCCCACAGATATTGTACAGCCCATGAAATCATTGATTGTACATTTGTACATTAAGTCATTGGTCGGACATAGCGCATTCTATTTCTTCAGTCCTTCTAACCATGGATATCCCCTCGTTATGTTTGGTCTCTTAATCCACCATCCTCCGTGAAACCACCAACCCGCCCACATCTGGGGCTCTTCTCACTCCGGGCCCATATAGACAGGGCTTGGTTATACTGAAACTATACCTGGCATTTGGTTCCTACTTCAGGGCCATTCCACTAAGATCGTGTCCACGTTCCCCTTAAATAAGACATCACGATGGTGTGGCGCTATCACCCTCTTAACCGCATCACTGGATGCATGGGTGCCTGGGTGGAAAAAGCCGGGGGGGGGGGAATCCTCAGCATTGCCGTAGGCTCCGGTAGGAGTCCCGCCCCCGATCCTGTGGGACCTGGATGTGCTTTGCCATGCCTTATGCTATCATCGCACCTATACTGAATGTCTTGGCCCCTATCCCGACCACTAAGGTGTTATTCAGTCAATGGTTACAGGACATAATAAATAATTAACCGGTACTTTACCCAAATTTTAACCCGCCAACCTTCAACCCAACTTACATTTTCTGAGGCAAGTGTCATAAAGAGACATTTTACCACTAACATTAACTATTTTACAAAACCAATAAACTGAAAAATATATACACCCCACAATACCCACATTTATTAGTATGGTACTGTACATAATTACTTCTCACACACCTCAAATGCTGCCCTTCAGAAAACATATCTACATTATACAGTAATAAATTAAACCTTAAATCCACATAACCTACCACTATAGACCCATATTAAGTCCCAATCAGGTTAATGTAGCTTAATACTTAAAGCAAGACCCTGAAAATGTCTAGACGGGTAATTATTACCCCATAAACACATAGGTTTGGTCCTAGCCTTTCTATTAGCCCTCAGTGAGATTACACATGCAAGCATCCGCAGCCCTGTGAGAATGCCCTCTAGAACACCAGAACATGAGGAGCGAGTATCAAGCACGCATTTACGCAGCTCAAAACACTTTGCTTAGCCACGCCCCCACGGGAAACAGCAGTGACAAACTTTTAGCAATAAACAAAAGTTTAACCAAGCTACACTGATAATAGAGTTGGTCAATTTCGTGCCAGCCACCGTGGCCATACAATTGACTCAAGTTAATAGAACACCCGCGTAAAGAGTGTTTAAGGTCTTATCTTCAATAAAGCTAACCTATAACTAAGTCGTAGAAAACCCCAGTTATAGTGAAGTACCCTATGAAAGTGGCTCTAATGCTCCTGAATACACTATAGCTAAGGCACCAACTGGGATTGGATACCCCACTATGCTTAGCCCTAAACCCCAATAACTCCACTAACAAAATTATTCACCAGAACACTACAAGCAATAGCTTGAAACTCAAAGGACCTGGTGGTGCTTTACATCCATCTAGAGGAGCCTGTTCTGTAATCGATATACCCTGATAAACCTTACCACCTCTTGCCCTCAGCCTGTATACCGCCATCTTCACCAAACTCCCTAAAGATCGTAAAGTAAGCAAAAGTATCACCATAAAAACGTTAGGTCAAGGTGCAGCCAATGAAGTGGGAAGAAATGGGCTACATTTTCTAATCTAGAAAAATTACACGATAGCCTTTATGAAATTTAAAGGCCCCAGGTGGATTTAGCAGTAAATCAAGAATAGAGAGCTTGATTGAAGCAAGGCCATTAAGCACGCACACACCGCCCGTCACCCTCCTCAACCATCATGTAGAAAAATATATTAACAGTTTAAACCACTTCATATTGATGTAGAGGGGATAAGTCGTAACATGGTAAGCGTACTGGAAAGTGTGCTTGGATGAATCAAAGTGTAGCTTAAATTAAAGCATCCAGCCTATACCCGGAAGATCTCACAACAATTGATCACTTTGAGCTAACCCTAGCCCGAATCCCCACTTATTTATACTATCTAAATTCAACAACTAAATCATTTACCTACTATAAAAGTATAGGTGATAGAAATTATGCCCAGGCGCAATAGATATGTACCGTAAGGGAAAGACAAAACCCTAATAAAGCATAAAAAAGCAAAGACAAATCCTTATACCTTCTGCATAATGAATTAACTAGAAATAACTTTATATAGAGAATTTAAACAGAGCTCCCTGAAACCAGCCGAGCTACCCAAAGATAGCTAAAAGAGCGCACCCGTCTATGTAGCAAAATAGTGGGAAAATCTATGGGTAGTGGCGACAAACCTACCGAGCCTGGTGATAGCTGGTTGTCCAAGACAGAATCTTAGTTCAACCTTAAATTTACTTACAGAACCATTTAATCCCCTCGTGAATTTAATGGTTAGTCTAAAGAGGGACAGCTATGTGATGAAAACAGAAACTGGACCCCTTCCTGACACCTTACACTAAAATTAACTCCAGATGGATTAATGATTTAAACATAAGACCTGACACCATAAAAACCCTACAAGAAAACCTAGGCAAAATCATTCAGGACATAGGCATAGGAAAGACTTCATGACTATAAGACCAAAAGCATTGGCAACAAAAGCCAAAATAGAGACATGGGATATAATTAAACTCCAGAGTTTCTGCACAGCAAAAGAAACAATCATCAAGTCAACTGGTAACCAACAGAATGGGAAAAAAATTTTGCAATCTACCCATGTGACAAAGGGCTAATATAGAGAATCTATAAAGAACTAAAGCAGATTTACAAGAAAAAAACAAACCAACCCATTCAAAAGTGGGCGAAGGATATGAAAAGACAATTTTCAAAAGAAGACATTTTTGAGGCCAACAAACATATGAAAAAATGCTCATCAACAGTGGTCATTAGAGAAATGCAAATCAATACCACATTCAGATACCATCTCACACCAGTTAGAATGGTGATCATTAAAAAATCAGAAGACAACAGATGCTGGGGAGGATGTGGAGAAATAGGAACACTTTTACACTGTTGGTGGGAGTGTAAATTAGTTCAGTCATTGTGGAATACAGTGTGGCAATTCCTCAAGGATCTAGAAATAGAAATTCCATTTGAACCAGCAATCCCATTACTGGGTATATACCCAAAGGATTATAAATCATTGTATTATAAAGACACATGCACACACATGTTCATTGTGACAGTGTTTACAATAGCAAAGACCTGGAACCAACCCAAATGCCCCTCAGTGGTAGACTGGACAAAGAAAATGTGGCACATATACACCATGGAATACTATGCAGCCATAAGAAAGGATGAGTTCATGTTCTTTGCAGGCACATGGATGAATGTGGAAACCATCATTCTCAGTAAACTGACACAAGAACAGAAAACGAAACAACGCATGTTCTCACTCATAGGCGGGTGTTGAACAATAAGAACACATGGGCACGAGGAGTGGAATGTCACACACTGGGGTCTGTTGGGGAGTGGGGGTCAAGGGGAGAGACAGCAGGGGATGGGGAGGTTGGGGAGGGATAACAGTGGGAGAAAGGACTGATGTAGGTGACAGGGAGATGGAGATGGCAAATCACCATGGCAGATGCGTACCTATGCAACAATCCTTCAAGATCTGCGCATGTACCTCAGAACTTAAAGTACAATTAAAAAAAACAGAAATTGCCCATATATTGAATAATATAACTAATGATTCTATAGATATTAAGAAGATAACAAGAAAATATTTTTAAAAAGCAACGTGGTTTTACATGAATAAAAACATGTCATGGAAAGGTACAAGTGAATTCTGTGAGCCCTGTCCTTTTGGTTTCTCAATGGAAATTTTAAAAGGAAACATACTGTAAATTTTTCATGTTTGAATATATGTAAAAGGCATATTTGTGGTAGCTGAGGTCAATAGTATGTGTCCAGTTAGAAAGGGCTTTATGTTCTTTGAAGAGCACATGGAAATGCACATTGTGCTTTTTTATTCTCTGCTTTCCAATACGTTAATCTTCACATGTTAATTATTCAAATTCTGCACTGATATTAGATAATTTATGATATCTCACTGTGGGTGAATCCAGTACCACATAGAAGTTTAGTGCCCTAACTCTAAAGGCAGATGGACTGTGTTCAAATTTAGCTTGTCTACATCTTAGCTGTAAAGTTTCCTTGGTGAATTACTTAACTGGTGTGGACTTCATTTATCTCATGTTTTTGTTGGTGATAACTATAGTACCTCCTCGTACAAATTTTGCAAAGACTCAGTGGGTTAAACATATAAAATCTTAGTCTCGTCCATAGCATATGGTTAAGTAAAGTTACGTATTACTTTTACCTCCTCAAATTATTGTTTTCCACACTCTCAGTGCATATTCATATGGTAGAGCTTCACTCCTGTATTGCAGTTTCTCACAAATTGCTCTGAACTCCTGCTTTATTAAGATTTCTTTTATGGTGTCTCAGATTTCTCACATACAAGTTGACAATTTATACTTGTTAAAACTTTTAAGATAGGATATGATATGATATGTACACACTTCAAAATTGATGAAACAACCTATCTCCTAGAGTCAACATGTACACATTAAAAGGAATAATTTAAGATTAGTAGATGCTAGTGATGTTGTTGGCTGGAATGATTGTGTGAAAACTATTCCTAGTTGCATCTTGGGGAAACACAGCAAGGTATTTTAGATTTTGAGATTATGAATGGTAACTTTTATCTGAAAATGTAAAAGAGCCCTCTTTCCCATGTTTCAATTTTTAATGTAATTAATTCTACTTCACTGATGTTAATATACTTTCCCTTGCTTCCTTTTTTCTTTGCATTCAAGTTACACATAGTTGCCCTACTTATTGTGTGTGTATATGTGTGTGTCTTATCATTTTTTTACTGTGGTAAAATGCACATGATGTAAAATTTACCATCTTATCCTTTTTTAAGTGGCAAAATTCAGTGGTATTAAATACATTCATTCACTATCTTCCATCTCCAGAATTCTTTTCATCTTGCAAAATTAAAACTCAATACTCATGAAGCAATAATTGCCTAGTCCTCGCTCCTCCAAGCTCCTGGAAACCGCTATTTTACATTTTGAGTCTGTGATTTTGACTATTCTAAGTACTTCATATAAGTGGAAACATAAACTATTGGTCTTTTTTTGATCCAGTTATTTTTGTGATTGGTTTATTTCATTTTGTGTGATTGGTTTAATTTACTCAAAGTTTATCCATGTTGTAGCAGATGTCAGAATTTCCAACCTGCTTCAGGCTAAAAAAAATTCCATTTTATGTGTGTACTAGATTTTACTTACCCATTTATCCATCAATGGACATTTGGGTTGCTTCCATGCTTTAGCTATTGGAGATAATGCTGCTCATTAACAGGAGTGTAACAAATTGCCTTGTTTTTCTTAATCAGTATAAATTATTCCATTTGAAGTGAGTGTTTCAGTTTTGTCTTTAACCTCTGTTGAACTAGCCAAAAGTCTTTTTTAGTTTTCTGTCAGTACAGCCTTCCTAATTTTCTATTCTAAAACTCCAACTTCCACCTGTTTCCTCTCAGAGAAGGCCTCATCTCTATTATCCAAATATAACAGAAATAACAGGTTTCCTCACATGCTTGTACCAAAATACAAAATAACTGCCTCCACAGTCATTTTTCCTACTTCTTTACTGCTGCAGTGGAGGAAGTGCCTCTCCTCCCACTTAACCTTATTCACTCAAACTCTATCGTGGACTCCTCTAAGTCATCCCACACACTAAATCAACTACCAAGTCCTCTGGGTTCTACTTTCCAGTCTTCTCAAATCCTTTTTATAGTCACAGCCATATTTGTCCCAGCTAGCATCATGTTACAGCAGATGTGTAGTCACCTGTCTGGTGTGCCATTCTACTCTTGCTTCCTCCCAAGTCTCACACTGTAGCCAGGGTGATTTTTTTCATCAATAAAATCTGACAGTATCACTCTTGTTTATTGTCTGTCATTGGCTTCTTGGTGCCCTCAAAATAAAGTCTAAACAACTTAGAATATCTTACAAATTTTGTTGTTGGTTACCTTTTCATTTTTTCTCTTGACAACTTTTCCAGTGTATCCATCCTCCAGGTTAATGACTGGACGGCTGAAAGTTATTTATCCAGGCACCAAAATACTCAAGGTTAATATAAGGGGTTAGTAAATGACTGGAAGGACAGAAATTACGGCAGTAAAGTTCGTGGAATTTTGTTTACACACACATAGTTCATGAAATGATTTATCTTTAAAGATGGTTTTATTTATGTTTTATAATTAAGTCATAAATTAACTCAAAAAGATGAGCTAAGTCAGAGAAAAAATATACTTCCAGCAACATGTTAAAATGCATTTACCAGCACCATTTGGTAAGCCAAATGTCATCAACTTCAGGATTTTTGCTTAAAAACCATATCTCAAAATGACGTGTTTCACAAATACTTTTGAAGTTAGTTGCAAATATTTCATGAACAGCTTTCCTTTCTCTTATGTTAGCTGGCTAAAAACCATAAACAATTGCTTTGTATCTGTCACAATTAATACATCTTGAAAATGGGCGTGTATCTAATTTCCAATGCAGTTTACATAAATCTCTGAATCAGACATGCCACTTTTAATGAAATACCATTTATTTTTCTGTCTATGAAGAAATTTTTACCTGAGGAGATGTTATTGTGTCAAAAAGGGCATTTTCATTCAGAAAGTTTGTAATATTATACTGATAAAAATTTAACTCTTTTTTCTTAATTTTTTTTTGGTCACATTCTGATCTCAGATGTTGATTTTTTGGGTATACATTCTTGTGGTTCCACACTGGAAAATTATTAAGTGAAAATCTTGAAAGATATTAAACCTCCTAAGCCTCTCATTTTAATTAATTAGTGTCACGATAAAATTGTGTTGTTTTGGACCCAAAACACCTGAAAGAAAAGGTCAAGACAATGTATTTAGCATAGGCTGATTGTAAGCATAATAATTATTGTTATAAAAATAATTCCTAAGGAACAGATAAGACCTGAAGTAGCTATATGAGGTGGTAACAGATTATACTGAAAATCCCATATTCTCCTAAGAATACTTTCATAAGAGTATGGGTCACTGCAATATGCAGAAACCCTCT